GAGAATCTCCTCCCACATCGGCGCAAAAACAATTTGCCGCAGCAATTCTGGAAATTCTCCCTTGTTGGCGTTATTCTGGATCAACGGATGGTTTGGTATTTACACAAATTGAACATGATTTATAAATACAAATTTGGCGGAATATTTGTCGTTATGTTCTAATTTATTTCAAATTATTGTAGGATATTTTATTTGATGAGGTAAGCCGGTCTGGACTTATTCAGACTAGATTGAGAAGAATTCATCAGAAACTCCATACTGTTGCACGACAAAAACCTGCCGAAAAGGCGAAGAAAAAAACTGCCGGAGGTCCTGGCGCGAAAATAGCAAGAGGTGAAGGAGCAGCTGACGAACAACAATACGACAGCCTAATTCTTCAGCTTAATGGGACGTGTGCAAAATCAGGAAAACAAATTTTGCAAGAATTAATTATTAGTACCTTTCAACATAGAAATTCTTTGAGACAAATTAACCCACAATCTATTTTATTGATCTACACAAAATTCAAGGAGTGTGACTTCATGGTAAGTAAGCACAACAGCAGTACTTAAGAATTATATAAAATAAATAATTCTAAGTTTTTTAATTATTTGATTTTCAGATTTCGTTCGAGTTTTCTTTAATGAAGGGGGAATCAGCCAATAATTTCACAAATTCTTGGCCGGCATTTTCATCTAAATTATTAATTAGAGCTAAGGAGATTAATTCGTCACCAGCGGTCACCAAGTTTTTGGCTGAGGAATCAGGTATTTTGCACTTAATTTAATTAAAAATAAGTTTTATTGTATTTTGAGATGGAAAATATTTTATACTTTTGCAGATGAGTGGGATGAATCATTAGCTGCTCTGTTTTTGCTATTACACTTAATTCCCCCCGCAGCGCAAGGGAAGGCGAAAGGCAGTCGCAGCAACACAACGTGTGCACAAACATTGATGGTCACGTATTACAATGTATTTCATTCATAAACATTTTGTGATATTAAATATTTTAAATTCCGCCAATGTGGTAAACAACTTTAATATTTTTAGATTGCAACACCTCTGCCGTCAATTTTGGACACCTGGAGTGACGATAAGCGCCAACCCAACTTAATTTGTCGAGGAATTGATAAGAAAAATTTAACATCTTTCTTCCTTGTCGTGGACAAAGTACTTCTTCCAATTGACGCGACTAATTGTACAGAAGCAATTGATCGTCTATTCAAATCACATTACGTTTTCTCAGCGGAATACGACAAAAATTTGCAAGGATTATGGAAATTTTTGCAAGTATTCATCTATAAGATAGACGTCGACAAAACTGATCTCTCAAGGAAAATTAAGCAAGTATCCTCTCAACTTAACCGAATTCTTGCCGAAAGCTTGGAATAATGTTTGTTTGTCCAAGATGTCACTCCTTAATTTTAAGGTTCACAGATTTTCTAGATCATGTTAAATTTAAGCATAATTTGTCACATACCAATTTTACTAAATTAGTTTGTCCTTATGACAGCTGTGAGGTAGAAATAAGCACTTGGAGCGGATTTCTGCGTCACTGTAAATCTCACGAGTTAAGTTATCAACAGAGTACCGAATATCTCACAAATATTGTAGGACAGGATGTTTTTCAAAATTCAAATAATAGTTTAGGAGTTAATCCAATTGAGAATAATAATTTGGACGACCCCAAGAATTTTGAAAATATTACAATTGATACTGGTATAGAAATAATTATTAATAGCTTAGGTAACTTTTGTGCGTCTTTGATGGCGAGGGGAGTGAATAATTCTGTGGTAGATTTTGTTGTCAAGGAAATGGAATACTCAGTTACAGAAATTATTAATTTAATTTGTAAATTAGGAAATCAAAAATTTGGTGAAGAATTTGATCCGTTAGCGTCTCAAATTCTTTCACTTTTGACAAGTTTCGAAAAAGTAAGGTCAGGTTACCAGCGCCAAAAACTGTTTGATAAACAAGATAAAATTATTTCTCCCATTGAAATTAGCCTAGGTAATAGAATTGAAGTCAAGGTAAAAGATGATAAACGGCAACAAGTAATTGTTGAGGACACTTTTATGTATGTACCTCTTCTTAAAACGTTAGAACAAATTATCAAAAGTCCGGAATTATTTCCATATTTCCAAGTCCAAAATTCAAATGAAAAAATAATCAAAAATTTTTCAGACTCAGAATCTTTTAAATCTAATAGTTTATTTTCAAGCTACCCAAATTCAATTCAGTTGCAATTGTTTTATGACGACTTTGAGACAGCAAATCCTTTGGGGTCGAAAAAAGGCGTGCATAAACTTGGGGGCATTTATTTCGTTTTACGAAATTTACCAGATTTTTTTAACTCTCAACTTTCACAAATTCATTTACTTGCTTTGTTTTATAGCGAAGATGCTAAAAAATATGGATGCAATGCTATCTTAACTCACATCCTTCCGGATATAAAAATTTTAGAAACAACGGGAATATTAGTTAGAAGCCAAATATTTCGCGGAACAATTTGCTCTGCCGTTTTTGATAACCTGGGAGGCAATTTTTTATTAGGTTTTACAGAATCCTTCAACTCAAATTATTTTTGTAGAATTTGCTATGCTTCGAAAATAGAATGCCAGAGCATATATGACCATACAAAAATGCCAATTCGAAATTCAGAAAATTACAACGACCACTTAAATTCAAAAACCTTTGGGGTTCAAAATCCGACTGCTTTGAGTACTTTAAAATATTTCAACTTTTTAGACACCCCCACTGTTGACATAATGCATGACCTTCTGGAGGGGGTTGTCCCATACGAAATTAAGTTAGTGTTGCAGAAGTTAATTAGCTTAGGGTGCTTTGACCTTGAAACGGTAAATCACCGGATTTTAGCGTTTGACTTTGGATACCTAGAATCAAAAAATAAACCAAATCCGATCCGACTTGATGGAAAAGGAAACAAAATTGGCATGAAGGCTGCTCAAACATGGTGCTTAATTAGATTCCTTCCCCTTATATTAGGTGACTTAATTATTTCAGTTGAACATTTAAGATATTGGGAGTTAATTTTAAAATTACTGGAATGCATGAGTATTATATTTTGTAGAATATTTTCAGAAAATTTAATTAATCAGTTAAAGGATGCAATTTCAAATCATCACGCCCTTTTCAAAATTCTCGTTCCAGATAATAATTTAATTCCGAAGCACCACTTTATGGTGCATTATCCTTATGTCATAAAACAGTCAGGTCCTTTAATATCACTTTGGACAATGAGATTCGAGGGCAAGCACAATTATTTTGCTCAAATAGCCCATAATATTAGGAATTTTAGAAATATTTGTTTTTCACTCTCAATGAGACACCAGCAATATTGTTCTCGTGTTTTTAAAAGTATTGAATTGCATTGTGGGTTAAAAACTGACGAAATTTTAAAAATTAATTTATCTGAATTTAACGATTCTTGATATAATTGAAACCTTAAATGTATATTTAGGTAATCAAACCTTGTCTTTGCAGACTGAAATCTTAAGCACAAATCAAATATGGTACAACGGTTATAATTATAAACGTAGCTTTATTGTATGTTATGAGACTGGAAATGTGTTCCCAAAATTTGGTCAAATTTGTGAATTTATTTTATACGAATCAAATACTTGCCTCTTGATCCTCAAATTAATGGAAACAGAATATTTTGATCGTCATTTGTTTGCATATAAAATTAAAGAGAGCAGAAATATTTTTAATGTAGTTAATATAAATAACCTTGTCACTCATGATGCTATGGAATTGAAAACTAATTTCAATATTTCTGGGAATTTTGTAATTTCGAGACATTACTTGTAGTTTAAAGTAAATAAGTAGTTTGTTTAATAATATTTAATGTTTAATATAATTTAATAATATTTTTAGTACATATGTAGGTAAATATTTTTGCACATATCATGTTTTAGATTAATAATTGTTTTACATGCTAAAATTGTTTTAATTGTCACGGTCAGCATTTTCTTTTGAAATAAAAATACAAATTATGAATAATTTTTCAGTACCATATTGCCCCATATTCAATACTGCTCTGGTAAATGCATAATACTGAACGGTATCACATCCCTATCACATACAATACTGCATGGTATCATTTCCACGTCGAACACAATACCAATGGGTACTAGCACTCACTATGATTCAATACCACTGGAGTAAAGTACAATACCCAATGTGCTGTTAGTATAATACTGTCCCAGTATAACCTTAATACCAAAAATGACATAAGCTATACCGGTGTAGTATTGACGTTAATAGTTTTTAGTATTGAATCAATACTACGGCGGTAGAGTCATATATGTATACCGCGTGGTATTGAAATAGTATTGATTTTGTTAAGAGTGTAATAACTATTTCGAAATTCGCTTTCCCTGAATAGCTATTTCTGGTTTTCTGTAAGCATACATTTCTTTCCATATTGCACATTAAGGTTATCTCAATTTACCCCAAGTGTATGTTAATACCCAGAACCAAATGTTTGTTTGTTGCTCACACAATCACCTCTTCCATAAGAAATTTTATAATAAAATTTAACAAAATTTACAAAAAATCTTAAAATATAGATGCTTTTCCGCGGTTTTATCGCATAACTTGTATTGAAGGTTGCTCTCTGCCTAGATCACCAACCGTCTGTTGGAGCAGATGATAGATGTGGTTCATCTTGGAGATCAATCTCATTCAGCGTAGAGACAACCTTTAGTTTATTGAGAGATATAACCCTAGCAATGTTAAGAACTTGGTAGAAATCCTGGTAAGTAATTGCAGTAAAAAACTCCGGCGTACTTGTCTCGCTATTTTTAGGTATGGCTTTCTGTGCATTTGCTCCGCTTTCTCGGATTCCGATCGATTGCACTTAACATCTCTGCAAATTTCTGTCGACAACATTACACTACTTATATGTATCTATTGTTCACTGTCGTATCCTACACTCCACCCTGTCATATCTTGCCCAACAGGATATGTACTCCTTCTGCTTGAGGGAAAGCTGCCTTGAAACATAATTTGGGTGCAGTGACGTGCCAAGCCTAACAGTATAAACACGCCATAATTAAACATTGTACGACCAATAGAAATGGAATTTCGCACCTTCAACAGTTTGGAGTAAGTATTAAATTTGCTTAACGTACTTAATACTATGCTTGACTACATTTGTTCGATTTTGATTAAATTAGTACCCGGTATTGTTGTTTATGAGTTACTGAAATGAGTTAAATGAGGTTAATTTCCATAATCCTTTAAATTTAAATTTAGTATAAATTAGAACTCACAGACAAATATCGGATGAAATGGAATAAATTTTAAGCAAGTAAAAAAATGGCTCGTTAATATTTTAAACTAAAGTTACATGAGTCGTAAATAAATTGTAAATGAGTTTTGGACAAACTGATATAAAATTATTTAATTGCAATATTTGTATTTACTTTAAACTGATTCCATTTCATCCGAAATTTATCTGGGAGTCAAAAAAATTCTCAATTGCTCAAAATTTTGACCTTGCAGACTTTAGTGAAAAGTTATACTCAATTTAAAGTCAACTCATTTATAACTCATGAGCAACACTAGTACCCAGTAATTCGGGCTGTTTCGTACCTGCTCTTGACAAATATTGTTATTATTTTTGGTCAGAATAAGTTACGGGAATCCTGGAGACACCATTGAGCTATCAGAGAAACTTAAAGCTCCTGCAAATGACAAAAGCACTGAAAATTCCCAACCCCGCCTCAGCCAAATGGAATTAATGCAAAACAAAACAGGATCGGGACAATTTGCAGCCGCAGGAGGGTTGGAGGCTGATGTCGGTATTAAACTGGACTCACAACAGGAACCCCATCACTCATCCACGCTAGAAAAGTGGAGCACTCTGGTCGCCTCACACACGGTAGCCGGAAAATATGCCGAAGCAGAAGATATCTGCAGAGAGATTTTGGCCATTGAAACCGAACATCTCGGCCCAAACCATCCTTCAACTCTAGTCACTAAAGGGAATCTTGCATCCGTGCTTTGTCTCCAGGGAAAGAATGAAGAAGCTCTGGCACTAAATTTGGAGGTATTAAAAGAGAGACGAATCCTGTATGAGGACAATCATCCCTTAATTTTATACACGATGCGGGAAGTGGCCGGCATATTTGTCGACATTGGACAGGATTCCGAGGCTGAACCTGTTTACAAGGAGTTGTTGGCGGGTCAGTTGGAACGCTATGGGCTGGGAAGCTCAGAACCAACAACAACCAAGCAAGAGCTGGCCACCGTCCTAGCAAAGCTTGGAAAAAATGAAGAAGCCTTGCCCCTGTTGATGGAAAGCGTTCCCGAACTGATCCTTCTTTTGGGTGAGTCGCACGAGATCACGCTATACGGTAAGAAGCTCATATCCTTCGTATTATCTGCCATAATGGAGAACGAGGGGGATCGTGCTGTAAAATGGTCGCCAAATGTCAGAGTACAATCACAAACGCAAGATTTCAATTGGGCACAGGCAAACTTGCTGCACGACCTTGGCATGTGTGTGGAGGCAGAGTCAGTTTATTTAGAAATGCTGAAGCAACCTGAAGTCAAGCGGGTACGTTGTGCAAAATACGTGTTATTTAACATTTTAATAAAGGCAAATTATTGCGCGCGCGGTGAATAATGTCGAAGGCAACCCTGCCAATTTTTCCGAGAACCGTTTTGCATAATTCTTGTTGTTCCTACTTAAATACGAGTTTTTGCAAGTTGTTAGGAAAAATTATTCTTGGCATTGGAATCTGAAGTAGATTGCAAGGTTTCGGTTTCTCTTATCGCTTAACTATTTCCATTTATCAAAACAAATTAGAATTTTTTTTGTTCTGCGTGAACATTACAAGTTCTGGTAAACCTATAAACATGTATGCTTAGAATTACCTCCTATACAATATAAAATTTTCATTTTTGAAATTATTAGACAACTACAATTTTTACCGAAATTTCGCATTTTAAAAAATATCAACTCCTGAAAAAATTCTAATTTTCTAATAATTTCAAAAATGAAAATTTTATATTGTATAGGAAGTAATTATACGTACGTATATGTACATGTTTTTAGTTTTTTAGGTCGCGCTAAAATACAAAAACTTACAGCCATTTTAAAATCGGACGTTTTGGCTGAAATTTGTTTTGAAATGCCCGTCACGCGCTCAAATACACGCATTAAGAAAAAAGCAAAAATACGGGTTCGCTTATTTTTGGGTAGGAATAAATTTAAATTAGCCCATCAATATCCCAGTATTACACGAGAAAACCCTGTATTGTAGGTATTTTGATAATGGTAAGTCTCATTGGGATTTAATATACATTCCCTGGTTCAGATGGATACACTTATAACGAAGAGTAAATTGGCTGCTGTTCGAGGAGACTTAGGTAGAGTTGAGGAAGCCCTTCAACTATACTTTGAAGTTGTAGGAGAGACCAAGGACCGTGTTCCCGCACACGATGAATTTCTTCTAACCAATAAAAACAACGCAGGAGGTCTTCTAACTCTTCTGGGTAGAAGGAGAGAAGCAGAAGTTTTATTCAAAGAAGTAATTAAAGAAAGGGAACGACACTTAGGCCCGAACCATCCTGATACGGTAACATCCAAAAGGAATTTAGCCGCTGTCAGACAGCCTGGAAAGCGTGGTGGATATATAGGGATGTCAAGAAACGATTTGGACGGTCCAACAAGCAGCTTTATGTCGACACGAATCGTGCTTGCAGCGGGTGAGCAGTGAAGCATTCCTAGGCATATTAAAGATACGGAGTTGTTTTATACTAATCGTTTGCCAAATGATTTTAGTGCACCCCTCCTCGTCGAGCGGAGGTGAGCGGAGCACTCACAAGTGGTATGACGCCATCGTGTCCAGCTTCAAGAAGTTATGGAACCGCGTTGAATAAGGCGGAAGTCCAAGAATGAAATACATGGTTAAACAATGAAGTTGACTAAATTCAAGTGAATGGTGAGTGAGTGTGATAATGAGATGAGTGCTGTCACCTGCTAAGACTCCTACATATAAGGAAAGTACAAACATGAATACGGGCACTGGAATAGTTATGTCTGCCAATATACAAACCTCACTCTCTATAATTTTTTGAACAGATTGTCTCCCGTCGGAATAATTGACGTACGTCTGACGTACCTCGGATTGCCTCCGCCTGAGACAATCTGTCCCAGAAATTTAGAAAATCTTGTTGAAACAGATAAGGGACATTGAGTAGACATAACCACCATAACAGCATGAATAAAATTCTATTGCATCCTTCTAGTCTGTGTACATACGTGATAAATATGAAAATTTATGTTACACCGACAAATGACAAAGAGCATGTAAAATATAGCTTAAAATGGGTGCAATCACTTTTAGTTCTACGTAGAACTAAAATTTCCGGATATGTAGATATCTGAAAAATTTATAGAGGCGCGGCTATTCAATGTTTCTTGACCTTCCCGATTGCTTATATGTATGCACGAAGTAAAATTACACCATGAAAACATTGGTTGTATTAAATGCTGTGAACGTTTTTACATACTTAAGACTTCATGAACATGTTCTTATGCTGAAAGATGAATAAAAATATGTGACACAGAAAGTAAAGAAAGGATATGCTAAAATTTGTACTACAATAAAGTGTATATATTTTTGTCAAAAAGTGACTCAAAATTATTACAAAGTTGCCTTCATCATACGAGATAACGATTGTGGAGTAAGGAAACCTATTACAATAACGCGCTTTGTTCATACTTGTCTCCAGAACTGAAGAAAGAGAATTTAGTTTTGTGAGGTTGAAACCATACATGCATGGAAGAAGGTGTAATCACCAACGTGATGCAAAGCCCGTGGAAAGGTTAAGGTAATTGTACAATAACTACATGACATCAAGAATAACAGTGCGACAAGCTTGGTAAGCTTGAGGGGAGCACAAAGTCTTCAAACTTGCTAAAGTACAGTATCAAAATGCCCCAGGGGTATATCGACACATGTCCTGGAGATCTGCGGTTCCTGTGCGTCTGTATCATCACCACTACTTTTAACCAACTCGGGTAAACTCGTCCATAATATGGAGTATGTTGGGATGGGAAAACTGTAAAGCTTACGTAAAACTGGGTTTGTATTACATACATACGCCTGGAGTGAGTGAGTCGTGACTTTGGATGGACCAGTTTGTGGACAGACACAGACACATGTTCCACCACTGACATATACAGGTATATACTTTATTTTTGCAAACATGACAGGAAGATAGGCTTGGTAATTATTCTACATAGGTTTGTCCTGTGACATTATTTTCAAAACGGATTGTTTAATGTGGATGGAAGTATACAAAATATTGTAAAAAGTTAGAATTTGTGAGAAAACATTTCGCTAAAATGAGCCTTCTCACAAAAATGTTCCAGTCAAAGACACCTGGGCAGGGGATAGTCCGGTATTGGAAGGAATCCTGAAATTGCGAGATGTTGAGAAATTGAATGCCCCCATACGGACCCTTAATAGTTAACGTTGGCATGAGCGACTACATAATATATGTTTCACATATTCTTCCATGTGCATGAAAGCAAGTGGTAAAATGTACTTATCATAATTATGTATTGCGTTGGATGATAAGTAACATACTGAAACATTGTAGGTGTGACAGGGGGTGTGTGGATATTACTCTGTTTTTAACATTGCTTACCAGCTGGTTTTCGCATGTCACCAACATGGTAGGAATATGCTTCTGAATCGGTAATAGATCTACTATGCGGTAGAGAATCATATATAGTTACCGCTTGGTAAAAGCCTGTTGCCAGTTTATTTTTATGATCGCTAAAGAAAATAAGTGTGAATTTCAAATTACTTAAAAATATCTACTTACGTGAGCTACCCATTAGTTGACGGGATGTGAATAAAACAATACAACTGAAGGAAGAATCCTTCTTGCAGGAAAACAGAGAATTAAGTCGGATTATTTGTTGGAGATGAATAATTATGAAAAACCAGTTTTTGGTATGCATCAGCATATCGTCGGACTAATTCTGAAAGGGCCTAAGTGCAGTCGATACTTAATTCCGAAAGGGCCTAAGTGCAGTCGATCCTTAATTCCGAAATGGCCTAAGTGCACAATAAAAATGACCGAAAGGGCCTAAGTGCATGAATGTAATGTAATGTAATGTAATGTAATGCATGTAGATTTCAAAAACTTTAGGCGTGGTGTCAAGGAAAATCGGCTCACTCTAGCTACTATAGAGTAAAATTAATTAAAAGTTGAGAAAACTAGGGAATGACACAAGTTTTGGATAAAATTTAAACAAAGTTGTAGAATTTACTTATGGGGCAAAGCTTAATTATTATGGGGTACGAAATATATTATGTTGGGGCAAAAAGTATTTAGGGCAAAATTCATATTTTTATGGGGCAAAAAGCATATATTTATAGGGGTCGAAAATTTAATTCCTATGTTAAACATCCTTGCTAAATACGTACATACATGTATATGAACTTGTCTTGGTTTACCTATTCCCAGCTCACGGTACTGGGATAGTACGGAACCTTAGTAAATGAAGCAGAATGGTGGTGGCGTTTTTTTGGCCTTTGGCTATCAAATTTTGGCCCCTGACATACTGAAGTCGGTCGTTTACGTATCCATATAAATAGGTATACATTTTTAATTAAGAATGTAGGAATAAATTCATGAACATAACATTCTTTCCTGACAGCAGATCTAACATGCCCTTTTGTGACACTTAAGGCATGCAAGATTTGTATTCCACCCACATTTTCTTCTCAGTTATATCATAAACCTTGTTCTACTTACAAATGATTAATTTACTGAAATTTTGGTAACTCATTATAATTATATTGTAATTAGGAACTTATTTTATTTTTCCCCTCAGTTACATAAGCTGAATTTTTGTTTTCTTAAATTTAATTGTTTTCATCCATTTAAGCACCTGTAAAAATAGCTCGTTTTTCTAAAATTGATCGCATATGTAACGGGTATTATGCTAAAGTTGCGAGTGAGAGACACATTTTTCAATGGGTATGTCAAATTAGAACGGGAAGGCAATACTTGAAGTCAATTTTACCACGATATAGTGATGAGCGGACTCTTCTCTATGGTTTAACAACAAGGGAAAAATGACTTTTCAGTAAGGTAGGGCGACATAACAGGTTATAGTATTACCCGAGAATAATTAAAATTTATATGCCATCGATAACTTGTGATCCATTCGGAAGAATTGTGCGCATGAAGAGCTTAAACCAACGAACATGGTGGAATTGGAGTATGTCAAAAGTGGTTTTCACTTCCAGTTGTCCACTTAGAAAAATTGCAAGTCTTTCAAAAAACGGATTCAGAGAATGTTTGATAATAATGGTGGACACGCTGGATAATATGTAAGATATAAAAGTTTCAAGAATATACTGGGGCTCCTCAGACAGTTCTCAAAAATTTCGCTTGCTTCGCTTGGTTAAAAATTTCGCTGCATTAAGCGAACAAGCGAGGCAAATCTGACTGAACACTTTTCGCTTAATAAGTCGCTTGTGAATTTGCTCCAAAAATGAGACTGTGCGCGAATTTTAAAACCCCTGTGATTTAGTGAATCCCAAATTTGAGTAAGTTTTAGTAGTTTAAGTTAAATATTTAATTTGTTTTAATTTATATTCTAACTACGATGTCGCAAAAGTCCGCTAAAACACACCTTATCGAGGCCCTTGCTTGCAACGCAATCCTGGCGATGGAAACTGAAGAAGAGGAAATTGACGACATTATTGAAAACTTTGAGAACGATTTAAGTGCAGTGTTGTGCATTCGATATGCGACTTCTCGAACCATTAAAACTCCAAAATCTAAAGAGTGGATTTTTAGTGTCTTGCCAAATTATGCCGAAAGAGAGTTCAAGGAAAATTTAAGAGTGTCAAGGACAGACTTTGGTAGAATATTAAACATAATTTCTCCCTACGAAGGATTTTCAAACATCGGACCAGGGAAACAATTTCCAATTGCAATCCAATTAGCCGTCGCACTATTTCGATTCGGGGTGAACGGTACTGGGGCGTCTTATTCGAAACTGGCTCAAAAATTTGGAATTGGTAATGGAACAGTTGATGCTATCACCAAGAGAGTAATAAAGGTAAATATGAAAATTATATAATTATCATGCTTACAATAAAGTGTATGTTAAAGGGTTTTTATATTAAGAGGTGTTTTAAATCTTTCAGGCTATCGTATCAGTTGAAAAAGAATGGATTTACTGGCCTGATGAAACTGAACGCGAGAAATTGGCTGAATTATGCCCCCAGCTTCCAGGCTGTATCGGAATTGTTGACGGCTCCCACATTAATTTAGAGGAAGCTCCCATCAACGATCCCCAGTCTTATTTTTCACGTAAAATGAGATATTCCATTCACCTACAAGGGATTTGTGACGCAGGTGTGCATATTATACTTTAACCATTGCCTATTTTTATCAAATGTTGTACATATATTCTGGTATTTCGATTTTTGCAGAGTTGCGATTGAGACATATTTTAGTTGGATACCCAGGATCAGTACACGATGCGCGAGTGTTTGCAAATTGTGATATTGCGAAACACCCTGAAAATTATTTTAACCTAGGGCAATGGATAGCCGGCGATTCAGCCTACAAACTTCAGCCGTACTTGATTACCACGCTTCGGACTAATGCAGTTATTGGAACACAAAAAGAAAGAGGTGCATCTCAGTAGTACTACTAATCGGTTTCGATTGTAAAATTAATATTTACTTATTACAATGCAGATAAGTTCAACAAAGTGTTTTGCAACTTCCGTGTCAAAATTGAACAAGTGTATGGGGGTCTAAAAGAAATTTTCACGAGTCTGAAGGAGCTAAGGATGCAAATTAACTTTCAAGATGGCCATCAATATGCTGTACAATGGA